AAAATTAAAAAAAAAAAAAAAGAATTGTTGGTCAGCCAGGAGTTCTGGAGCCATGGCAGTTTCATTGGTAATTATTTCTATAACTGCTTGGAGTCTAATGATGGGGTTTAACATATAGATGGGTGTTCAGTATCCCCAGCTACCATCCTGAGCCCAGGTACATTGAGGCGGCCATTCATCTTTTCCCCAGGTTTGTTTTTCTGCCAATTTAAGGGACCATTTGGACCTCAGGTCATTGTATAGGGGGATTCCCAATTGTGGGCCTCAGTTCTGGGGCAACAGGAAGAAACCTGGATAGATAATTCCTAGAGAAAACATCCACTCCAGTTAGGGGGGAGATCGGTATAAGCCCTCCTTCCACAGATCCAGAAGAGCCCTTCAGGTGCTCCCCAAATTTTCAGGGCTGTAGAGTTTAAATTTTTCCAGTATTGGCTGATTTTTAGAATTCCCTGGAAGGGCCAAGATCCTGTACAATTTACTAGCTGGGAGTAATCAGGGTTTGGTGTACAGGAGTGGTTGTGGGCCATCTCACTGGTCTGGGGTCAGGCCCAGTAATCAGTAGTGGTGTTAGGCCACCAGGTATAGGAAGTTTTATTTAAGGAGTACACCTGTTGGCAAAAGGTTTTTCCAACCCATTGGGTGAAACTTTGGCCCTGTCTACTTAGGCAGTTTGGTCCGATGACCTCTGAGGACAGGACCCAGCTGCAAGGGGGGCCAGAGTCCCGTGGGACTATGGTCCCATTCCATAGGAGGATTTCAGGAACTACTAGGCTAGATCCCCTCCATGGCCAGTTTTCACTCATTAGGGGCCCCCCACATATCCAGCAGTTTGACACATTTAGGGTCTGGACTATGCTTTCTGCCAGGTGTATGAACAGGTTCTGGCTGACTGTGGGTGTGTCCTGGAGGGAAGCTCTGAGGCTGTTGTAGAGACAGAGGGATAGGCCTATGAGAGGAGGAGCCCTGGGGGAAGACTGAGTAGTGGGTACCAGGAGTTGTTCTCATGTTTGGTCAGGTTGTGGGTTTTCAGAGCAGAAAAAACTCCATTTGACCCTTGGGTACCCTGGACTCCAATTCCATCAGACAGCAGGCAGTGCCCTCAACCTTCCTGCCATTTACATATAGGTACCCATTCATCACTATCTAAAAGTTCGAAAAAGTTAAGTGGTGGACCAGGTGAGGGCCATTTCCCCAGCCCAGTGGAGTTTGTGAGAGAGACCTCAAGGGTCAACATCAGGAGGTGGAGGTGTAGCAGGCCAATGCTATCATAGGGGATCTGACCTGTGAAAGTTACGGTCTGCCTAGGGGTCTCCAAGTTAGTTAACAAGGATAAGAGATGATGTGATATATACAACTGAAAAGTAAAACAAAGAGTATCGTCAGTCCCAGAAAGCAAATTCCAGCAACTTCAGCAGGAGTGATAATTTTTATTTCTTGCCTGGAGATCCTCCAGCTTCTGCCATACATAGACTAGTCAGCCCCTGGAGTGACTAGAGCAAGGCTGATGTCTGGGGTTTCCAAGGCAGGTCCGGGTCCTTGTTTCCAGAGAGTCAGCTTGTAGGGTGAAGTGGGGTGAGGAATGCAGTCTCAAGCAGTCATGGCTGGTTTGAGTCTGCTGTGATGTATCCACGGAGTGACCTCAGCTACCTTGACTGTAGTAGGGATAGAAAACAGAACAGTAAAATGTCCCCTCTGTAGGAGTTTGTGTAGTGGATTGAATTATGCCCCCCCTCCAAAACTCATTAAAGCTTGAGTTGTGTCTCCCAAGTTTAATGTATTAGGAACTAAGCTCCCACTGTGACTGTAAAGAGGGTGGGAAATCCTATTATGGTAATTGTAAGGGGGGGGGGGCTTGAAGAGGTGATTGGGGTGTAGGACTGTGCAGTAGTGAATTGATTAAAAATGGTTGTCAGGGGCCTGGTTCTGAGGGCTTGAAAAGAAGGGGAGAGTCTGTCTTTTTCTCCCTCTCTGCTCTCTCTGCCTCCACCATCTTGCAATGTGAGACCCCTGGGTCACTGTCACCACCAGCAGATGGACTTTGGACTTCCCAGCCTCAGAAATTGTAAGCAATAAATTTCATTTTCTTTATAAATCACCCAGTTCAGTGTACTTTGTGATAAGCAACAAAAATGGACTAATACACTTTGAGTGGCTGAACATTCCATTCCTTTACCCAAACGGAGGTTCCAGGCCTGTAGAGGTGTACAGAGGGGTTAAGGCTCATTGGGAGTCATTCTCCTACCCACTAGAGCTAGGAGTTGTTGTAAAGTTACATGTCCGACCTCCATCTGATTACCTTGAATACTCTTGACAAGACGGGGAGGCCTTCCGTAGAGGATTTCAAAAGGGTTGAGAGAAGCCCGTGCACTTGGTGGGCATAGATTAGACCTGGAACAAAACCATGAGAAGGATCTTGTTCCAGTGGAACTGCGTTTCTTTGCATAACTTCCTGAGGTGAGTTTTTATGGTTCTGTCCATGTGTTTGACCATTTCTGAACTTTGGGGTCAATAAGCAGTGTATAGCTTCCAGGTAATTTTTAAATTCCAGGCTATCAGTTGAAGAATTTTACCTACAAGCACTGGTCCATAGTCGGCTCCAATGACTAGAGGCAGTCGAAACTATGGGATGATTTCTTGCAGGAGTACTAGGGCCACTTCATGGGCCTTTTCAGTTCGGGTAGGAAAACCCAACTGGAATAGGTGCACAGCAAGATGAGGAGATACTTATAGCCTTGAGACCGGGACATTTCGGTGAAGTCCACTTCAAGATATTTGAAAGGAGTTGCACCCATGGCCTGGATTCCCAGAGGGACACTCAAGTGTGACTTGGGATGGTTGTGTGCACACAGCCAATGACTAGAGGCAGTCGAAACTATGGGATGATTTCTTGCAGGAGTACTAGGGCCACTTCATGGGCCTTTTCAGTTCGGGTAGGAAAACCCAACTGGAATAGGTGCACAGCAAGATGAGGAGATACTTATAGCCTTGAGACCGGGACATTTCAGTGAAGTCCACTTCAAGATTTTTGAAAGGAGTTGCACCCATGGCCTGGATTCCCAGAGGGACACTCAAGTGTGACTTGGGATGGTTGTGTGCAAACATAGCACATCACGAGCAGATGGTCCAGGTCAAACTGTCAAGATGCAGAATATGGAAGTAGCGGCCCAAAGTGGTTTTGGATGGCTGTTTGTCCAAAATGGGAATCTTCATGGAACTGTTTAACTACAACTGGGGCCAGGGTATTAGGGATGACAACCCATCAATCAGGGAGTTTCCACCATCCTTCCAGGAGAAGTGTTCCATTTTCTGTTTTGAGCCAGGTTACCTCCTGGGGCATGTAAGTAGGGGTCCAGCTGGGCAGAGAGGCTGGGAGCAGGGAGGTTATTAATTCTTGTTGGCCTCCTGATGTGGGAGGCAGGCCCATAGTGGCTAACTTGGCTGCTAGGTCTGCCTTGCGGTTTCCTTTGGCCTGGGGACTATTTCCCTTTTGGTGGCCATTATAGTGTATGACCCCCACTTTTTTAGGAGCCAAAACTGCTTCTAGGAGCTCTAGGACCTTTTCTTGGTATTTTATATTTTTGCCTGTCGAGGTGATTAAGCCCTGTTCCTTACATAAGGCTCTGTGTACCCTGGGGACTATTTCCCTTTTGGTGGCCATTATAGTGTATGACCCCCACTTTTTTAGGAGCCGAAACTGCTTCTAGGAGCTCTAGGACCTTTTCTTGGTATTTTATATTTTTGCCTGTCGAGGTGATTAAGCCCTGTTCCTTACATAAGGCTCTGTGTACGTGGAGTAAAGGCAAACTTGGAGTCTGTAAATGTTGACTTTAGTTCCAGCTGCCAGCTGCAAGGCACAGGTGAAGGTGATTAATTCAGCTTTCTGGGCTGAGGTCCCCATAGGCAAGACTTTGGCTTAGATGGTGGAGTCAAGAGTGACCACGGCATACCCTGTCTGGTGTTGGCCGTTGATGACAGAGCTGCTCCCATCTGTGTAGTATTCAACATCAGGGTCTGGGAGAGGCTGATCTTTGAGGTCCAGTCAGCTGGAGAACACTTCATTTAGCACTTCTATGAAATCATGATCTGGGGCTCCAGGTCCGAGTGGCAACAGTATAGTAGGATTGAGAGTTTTAACTGTTTCCAGATGGATGTAAGGATTTCCACATAACATTCCTTGATATTTAGTTATTTGGGCATTGGTGAGCCAGTAATGTCCTTTAGAATCCAACAGGGTGAGGACAGCATGGGGCACCCGCATGGTAGTTTCTAGTCCCAGGGTTAACTTGTCAGCTTCAGCAACTAGAAGGGCCATGGCTACTACTTCTCAGAGGCAGGTCAGCCAACCTCAGGCCATTGTGTCCAGCTGTTTTGAAGGGTATGCCACTAGGCAGTGCCAGGATCCCAGAAGCTGGGTTAGAACTCTCACTACAGTACCTTGTATTTCATGGACGTATAGAAAGAAGAGTTTTTCTAAGTCAGGCAGTTCCAGTCCTGGAGCACTTAGAAGTACCCTTTTTATGTCCATGAAGGCCTTTTGTTGAGCTGTTTCCCAGATTAGGGGTTCTTTTTCCCCACCTTTGGTTGCTTCATATAGAGGTTTGGCCAGTACTGCAAAGTTGGGGATACAGATCCTGCAGAATCCCACTGCCCCTAGGAACTCTCAAACCTGTCTTCATGTGTCGGGTGTTGAGATGGAACAGACAGCCTGTTTATGCTCTGGTCTCAGCTGGTGTTGTCATTGGGCGATATGGAACCCCAAATATTTGACTTTTTTGTGGCATATTTGGGCCTTTTTCTCAGATACTTTATATCCTTTTTCCCAAAGTAAGCTGAGAAGGAGTTCAGTCCCTTTCATACATTCTTGGTGGGTTTTCCCTGCCAGTAACAGGTCATCAACATATTGGTGCAGAAGACATCCACTTTGTTTGACTTGGAAAGCCTGCAGGCTGGAAGCCAGGCTCGTGCCAAAAATGGTTGGGGAGTTCTTAAATCCCTAAGGCAACCGTGTCCAAATTCATTGTCCTTGGGTTCCTTCAGGACTGTCCCATTGGAAAGCAAAGATGGATTGACTTTGGGGGGGCCAGTCTGATGCAGAAAAAGGCATCTTTAAGGTCTAGACAGGTGAAGTAAGTGGCATCAGCAGGGATTAAGCTCAAAAGCATGTATGGATTAGGAACGGCAGGGTGCAAGGTGATGGTTGCTTGGTTGACTGCCCTGAGGTCTTGTACTGGTCAAAATTCATTGGTCCCAGCTTTTGAACTTGCAGTAGGGGTGTGTTCCAGGAGGACTGGCATGGCCTTAAGAGACCATACCTGAGGAGTCTGCCTAGATGTTTTTGTACCCCTTGCTGAGCCTGTCAAGGGATACAGTATTGTTTTTACCAGACTGGTGCTGCTCCTGGTTTCAGTTCCACCAGGACTGGGAAAATTGTCCTTGGCCAGACCTGCTGGGTTGTCTTCAGCCTAGACTCCAGGCACTCAGAAGGGAAGCTCCAGCAATGTAGGTGTTGTGGCCTCTAAGCTAAGCAACCCCCATTCTTCCCCCTGTGGGGCAGTGAGGGACAGAATCTGAGCTTCTGAATCTCCCAGAGTTAGAGATACTTCTCCAGTCTTTGAGATAGTTATTTGGGCCTGTAACTTACTTAGTAGATCTCATCCACGTAGGGGTATTGGACAGTCAGGTAGGTAGAGAAACTCGTGGATGACCTCTCTTCTTCCTATGCTGCATCTTCTGGGCTATAAGAAGGTATGTTCTGTCGGCTCCCTGTGGCCGTGACTATGCTAGTCTGTTTCTTAGAGAAAGGTCCAATAGGCCATATGACTACCGAATGTTTGGCTCCAGTATCCACCATGAAGTTTATGGGTTGGCCCCCTACCATCATTTGGACCAAGGGCTCCTAGGGGCCCAGGGGAAGGGAGCCCAGTCAGTCCTATTCACTTTCATATTGTTCAAGTCCAGCCAAGCCAATGAAATCTTGCTGGGGTACTTTGGTGGCTGGTTTTTCTGGGTTTTGGTATCCTTGGAAGGCCTGTCCCCTTTTCAGGGTCTGGAATTGGCCTTTAGTGGTGGTTAGGCATTGGGGACACTCATTTTTCCAATGTCCATCTTCATGAGAGTAGGCACATTTGTTGGGCCTCAGGGGTGGTCTGGGACTGGGTATGCCCTATGGTTGTCCTCTGGTTGGCCTTCAGCCCCAGCCCTGGGGCCCTTTTGGGGATCCTGATTTTTTGACCAGTGTGGTGGCTAGGAGGTCAACCTTTTCATTTTCTTGTCTGCCTTACAGCAGGCCTCTTGGACCTGGTTGACGAACACATTGGCTGCAATTTCTAGGAGTTGAGTAACATTCATGCCAGCAAATCCTTCCAGTTTTTATAGTTTCTGGTGGATATCTCCCTGTGCCTGTCACACAAAAGCAGCATTGACCATCCTCTGGTTCTCAGGCTGTTCAGGATCAAAGGGCCTGTAAAGGTGGAATGCCTCACAGAGCCTTTCGTAGAACTGACTGGGGCTTTCATCTGCCTTTTGGAGGACCTCAGATATCTTGCTAATGTTGGTCAGCTTTTTCCCTCTTGGTATTGTTCCAGCATTTGTAGGCCCTGATCTATGTTAGGGTCCCATTGTGGATCCTCATCAGGGAAATGGGTCTGGGCAT